AAATATCGTTTCTTCAGCTTCCCTTAATAATGTTGCAAGTAGCTTAAACTTTATAAAAAATGTAAATAGCTGTTTGAGCTAAATACTCGCCACCATGTGAATTATTTTAAGCTAGGAAAAAAAACGATATAAACCACCACCTTACAGCAAGGCTTGATCTTAGTTAAGGTAACATGTTAATACACTTTTTTATCATAGATAACAAATTATTATGGGACAGTTTTTAATTAAAACATGCAAAATATCTGACACAACAAACTATCAAACCAGTAACTCACACTGTGGTTTTGTCTCACCTGGATTACTGCTCAGTAGTTTTGGTCCAATACGTCACCGGTAATATCATAAAGTCGCAGTCGGTTCAGAATAAAGCGACACGTGTAGCTCTTTCTTCTGGGATGAGAATGGATGTTTCTAGAAGGCTTGAATGTCTCTCTTGGTTTAAAGTGAAAAATAGATTACTGTAGGCTATTCACTGATGGTTTTCATTAGGGATGTCATAACAACAAAGACTCCATTTATGTGTTACAAAAGGCTATCCTTTAGTACAGATACACAGTTATTTTACAAGACATGTCGGAGGATGTTTTACCAAAAACCACATCAGTTCAGCGTACAGTAATAATATTACTGCAACCACTTACATTACACAACAAAATAATATATATGGGTTTTTAAAGAAATGCTAAAAGAGCATTACTTAAAAGGAAAATTGAGTAATTAATAAGTACTCTCTGGTGTGAGAGGGTTCAATAGGCGATCAATAAAAAAGTTAAATGAAGGTATTTACCTGTTGAATCATGAAGATATTTGTTTGTTAGTTCAGAGAGTTTAGAGTTTAATTTACAGTATATGTGCATTACTATGTGTTTAATGTGATGAGTAATGTGAGTGTGTGTATTTGTATAGTGCTGTCACCATGTAAACTGTGTGGACCCCAGGAAGAAGAATACAGACTGTTATGCAGAAGCTAATAGGGAGGTTAATAAACAGACAAACAAACAAACAAACAAACAGTAGATATTTTGACATGTCTTGGTAGAGGAAGGTGTAGCTAATTAATGACATTAATAAGTGCTGCATTCAATTTAGGTGTCCAAACGTTGATTTCTGAACTTATATATGGGAAATGTGGCTTGTAATTTCATCACTATTCTCTCTGGAAAAGGGCCTGTACTATAAGTACTGTTGCAATGAACATTATTGACTGGGATCAATCAATAGTAGGCCTATAGTAAAGTGGCGATACATATAATTCACTCAAAAAAGTGGATTTTGTGTTGGTCTTTATTGTCATCCAAATGTCGTCTCAAAGTGCAATAAGAGGCTAAATTCTTTATAAAGTTTGTATTGGAGAGAAGTTGGGTTTGTCGCTCTTAATACCGACGGAAATTATGGCGGAGTCACCAGGAAAATTTAGGAAGTACATCTCTCAACATCCAGTCATTGCAGTACCTCTTGTAAACAGAACCAGATGGGGAGTCATTTTGTGTGAGAGTTTGGACTAGAAGACATTTCACTGTACTGACACATTTCCTCAATTACAAATATGTATATATATATATATATATATATATATATATATATATATACTGTAGCTGACATAATTTCCTGGACCACATCTTATATTTATGTTGAATTCAATTGAGATAAATGCAGCATACAGTGCATCACAGTTATTGTACATCTGTTGTGAGTGGGGGGCATGCAGCCAGTGAGACAGACCTGACAGAAGACATCACACACACCCACACACACCCACACACACCCACACACACACACACACACACACACACACACACACACACACACACACACACACACACACACACACCTGTTAGACATTCTCTGTCAGCATTAGGTAACACAGCAGGCCTGCAGTATTCACACCTGCCCAAATCACTCAATACAAAAACAGCACAAAAGCAACGGGACCGCCTGCGAGACAGGCGAGAAAGATTCATCTTTTTGCTGGTGTGACTGATGGGCCGACAATTTGACTTCTTACGGTGACATTTTGTGTGTCAGCGAGAACATGACTGACCAGGGAAACGTCAACTGACCTCTCTCTCCCTGGTAGACTTCTGAACCAGGAGATCATGTGACATATCCACCGACAACCCTGACATATTATTTGCAGCTGTGAAAGAGAAGCAGGAAATCTTCTGGAGAGCTTTTTCTCAGAAAGATAGATACTCTTTGAGAGGACATAATCACCTGTTCTTTAAAAATACAGTGATGAATTTCAGAAAGAGACACAAAATGACTGTTACTGATTCCTGAAGGAGAAATATCCTCTCTAGCCACAAGATAAATAAAACTGCTGCTCTTCCCTCTACTGTCTGCCTCTTTGTCTCACTTTCTTATTCTTTCTTAACACACACACACACACACACACACACACACACACACACACACACACACACACACACACACACGCTCACAATCAGAGGCAAACACTCCAAAATCCAGCTGCTAGACTGTTTCACTCGGCACAGGTGCCCAAAGAACTTCTGAGCTTCATTCATCAATCTAAGCTTAAAACCTGCAACAACTGTGCACTCTAAAACAACTCACTCTCTCTCTCTCTCTCTCTCTCTCTCACACACACACACACACACACACAGGCAGCAAGACACAGAGAGAGAAACAGCTGCACTCTGATGAATGCCCTATATTCATTCCACAGGAAGCTGGTTCATCTGTCACTACTGATGCAACCCTTCCACTCTACCCCTTCAAAACACACACAAGCACACACACAAACCCCCAGTTCTCTTTCTCTGATTAGTCTCCCAGCTGGTCTCTGCGACAAATGCTCCTTTGATGCATCTTCCCGGGGGCCAAAGCTACCATCAGCACCCTCCACCACCTCCTCCCTTCCACTTCTCCGCTCTTTTTCTCGCACCCCGCCACTTCCTGCATGACATTAAAGTGACTTCCAGCAGCCACCCTCGCCAACCCCGTTACTCCCCACCGTCCCATTCAGCATCAGCAGTTCTGTCCTCCAGAGAGAAGATGAGAGAAAAAGAGAGGATTTGTACCCGTCGTTTGGAAAAGGCGTAATGAGACGTCCACTTCAAACTCTTGGTTTTTATTACTGCATCAAATAAAAGAGTGGGAATCCGATTGTGACTGTACATCTGCACTGCTCTACTATCACAGTGTGGCAACAGCTGGCTCACTTCACCTCCTCACAGGTCGTAAGTCATCAGGAAGCCCTCAGGATTTGCATACTGGTGTAAATGCAGCACTGACTCATCGCTTTGATAAGGAAGAAAGTGATAATTGCCCACTCAAGTGGCAGATTGCCATTACTTTCATTGCAAGATTAAGAATTCTGTTGCTTCTGAGGCACATTTACATGCACCCGACTCCCCAAGTAACCCAGAGTTGACATGATGTGTTTGATAATCAGTATGAATGTCTGGGAAGATGTGTGGTATAGCCTACAGCGAACATCTCATATTGACAACGCAAAATAAGGGAAGAAAAATTGAGTTGTGTTTGTTTTGATTAATTCAATGTATGCTTATTTTCAGCCTTTTTGTAACAAACCTAATGTTTACAACAGTGTATCATTTCTAATTGTGGGAAAAATGACTGGGTACTATTTCTAATTAACAACTTAATATGCAATCTTTAACAATTGTTGTCTGGGGTCCCACAGACCTCACCATCCTATAAATAATTGTTTGTTATTTATTAAAATCAAATGTAGAAAAAAGTATTTAAGTTGTAACCCTTTCCTTTGCAACAATGTGAGCTTGTACATTTGAGGAAGGTGACATAACACTGGAAAGACCATGAAGCATTGTTGTTTCACCAAATAAGGAAATAGTTCATGTTTCATTAACCTGAACAAATATTTATTTTGTTTGCCAAAGACTCACTCACAGACAAAGAAACATACAGTAAGCTATCATACATTGTGATGAAATCATGTTAAAGGTCAATTAGAAACCAGAACTCCCATGTTAGACCTTTTATGAACTATTTAAGCTCCAATGACATTAATCCAAATAGATTTATTTTGGATTTGGGAGGGGTGGTGCTGCACAAAGAGTTAACTCAGATTCCAGATATAGAACATATGGAAATCTTTTGTATTTTGACTCCAACCAAAAGTTGTTCAAAATATTTTTGGTTCATAAGAAATTCTCATTAAAACTAGTATACTGTATGTCAGAAAGTATCGCAGTGATAAGTATATTTTCTGAGTATCAGGGTCGGATGGAAAACAGTGTTTGAGATCGATCAATCACTTTTATTATGCTGGTGGAGGCTTGAAACACTGAATTTTAAATACCTTTTTTTTCCCTCCAGAATCTCAGTGTCTCCTTCTATGAGAAACATTTTGACTGATGTATGACACTTAATGATTTTAATTAGCATTTAGTGCGACGTGCAGCTTTTAGTGAGTGGCTGACCTCTGCGGTGAGTTCACCATGTGCAGGGATAACATGCGACTGTGTATTGTCAGCCTTTATTAAAATAGATCCGTCTCTAAATAGTGTCAGTGTTCGGTGTGAGCGTTTAACCTGATGCCACACTACTTCATGTCATCTGTCATGCATGGTTGCTGGAGGTGTAGAATGATTGACTGGACTACAGAAACGGAGAGAAAATCTGAGGATTTATGTGCCAGTTGTTTTCCTCAGCACCGGTGTTTTAAAAAGTCAGTTTATAATAACTTCAGCCAAAAATGGAGTTGGCTGCTAAATACCATCTCCTTTTGCTATGACCCCTTGCAGAAGGTCAGCATTTCCAACATTTTAACCATCGCACTAAAATCCAAGAGACGGGGCCTGATCTCACTCTCGGGGGGCTTAAGCGCAAGTTATTATGCCAGTGTTGAACTTTCACATTTTATTTCCTGCAAATGCGCCGCACCTACCTTTTTAACGTCAAAAAGTCACAGCAAATCCAAAGACATGATGTCACCGATAAAGAAGCGGAGCGAAGAGGCAAAGGACCAGTCCAGGTAGAGCAGTCAGTGGGAAGCTTGTAAATATGGTTCTTTATTGCACACATGACATTTGTTTTCCTTTTTTTGTTTTTGGTGTGAGCAACAAAAACTGGCATTACATGTTTTACACCCTATTCAATATTCTCAGTCTAACCCTCTATAAAAACAAGGTAACACAAAACAAAATAAAGGCTACTTCACATAAAAACTTACAACTCCAACAAAAAAAAAAGAAATCTCACAGATTTTAGTGCATCACTATATGGATGAGGAACTTACAGTATAAACCATACTAGTATAATTTTTAGGAAAAAAAAAAGTATTATACTTTTATCACAGTCAAAAAAAATAAAGAGGAAAAAAAATCCAGTGGGGCTAAAATTTTTCTCATTCTGTATTTTGGTAGCATTTGCCATTTAACCACCTGAGTGCTACATCTCTGAGACCAATACTGATTGGTTAACCTGCCGTTTAACTCATTGGAGGAATGTTTGTTAAACAGAACAGAAGAAAAATAAAAGATTGACAGGTGAGAAGGTAGTTAGTAGATAAATACACTGAATGCCCTGCGACAGATTTGAAAAGGCACTGAGAACCTCGGCCAGAGATGGCAGCAGTATGCAAACAGACGTTCGCTGCATACTGTGGTCCAATCAAACATTCTCAGTTGATCAAATTGAAAACAGGACCCATTAAACCACAGCTTAATGGTGGGAAATGTCTGCGACCAAGTTTCCAATGCTTGATCAAACTTTCCCAGTTTCTTTTTAAAAAAAAGAGTATGTACAAAACAAAAAAACATGGGCATTTAGTTTTGTTTTTTTTTTTAAAAAAGAAGCTTTTGGCGAGATAAAAAGGGAGACAGAAAATTGGCACTTCAAAGATTAGGTACAAAAATATATAATTTCCCAATCTTAGGGGGAAAAAAAGGCACTTTTTAAACTCACAGATGCTATATTTCAGGCAGTGTTTGTAATACATTGCGTTGTGGGAAATAACTCGCCACTTGTCAGTGTTCTTTTCATCAGCTTGGTGATTGCGGCGAGCCACTGAAAACCTCTGACACATAAACGGCGAGGCTTGTGACAGTATAAATACATCAACTGCTAATGGACGGATTTTAGCTCAAGTTGCTCATTACAGCACAAAAGGAGCCAATCAAAAACATAATTTAAAAAAAAGACTGATCCTACATTAATAAATAAACAAGCTTATGGCTTCACAACACCTAACGTATAAAAGGAGGGAAAACAATTTGGGCTGCCAGTAATCCAATCTCTGTCTCTACTTGCTGGTGTACAAGAAGGTGTTATAGGCAAAAACACCCAGGTTTTTTTCTTTTTTTCCAGATCAAAGACACAAAATGTTAATTCCAGAGAGGAGAGAAATGTTAAGTTTGATGTTAGACACTTTTAATCCTTGTTCTTTTCTTGCTGAGACATGAAGAGAATTTGCAACAGTTAAGGCCAAAGTTGCTTTTGTTGTGCAGATTTTAAAAAAGGAGGGGGGGGGGGGGAGAGAAGATGAAAAAAAAATCTGGAGGCATCACTCAGTGGGTTAAAGTAATAATCAGGATTAATGAAGTTAATCTTTTGCTTGTGTGTCAGTGTCAACACCTTGAATTAGTGGAGGAGGAAGAAAGCTGAATAGAGAGAAGAGAGCTGAATGAACCCAGGGACGAGTGCACTGACACAGTAGTAGAATGAACACCACACACTGGCAGTGTTTCAGACAAAAAAAAAAACTTCCCCCTAAACAAAAACAATAAATACAAGCTACCTGAAAGCCGTATCAGCGTTTTACACTGGAAGGAATAGTAAGGTTGTTTTGATCCCAAAGTACTTCATATTGGCATGGTGTACTGGTGTGTGTCTAAGCATTATGGATGCTCCCAAATGGCCCAGTATTAGCTATTATATCAATAAGCCGAATGGGGAGAAGTGTTCACCAAACAGACAACAGCTGGTGATAACTGTAATGCTGCTATCCAGGCATAACAAGCCGTGGAAGCAATGCAGGAAATAAACTGGACTGGGGACAGCTTTAGACTATCACACAACTTTCATCTATAAATTTGCCCCACGTGTCTGTTGTAAATAACTCACATCAATAGTGTGTGCTGAGATGTCCTGCACTGCATAATTCACAGTTAAATTAATCCTTTTGAGACGACTAGCATGCAGTATTTTTTTTGCCTGGATTATCCTGCACTAACTAATGGTTAGAAAAAGAGGAAAGTGGAGTTCTGTCTTTACGGATTAACCATTGTGTGCAGACAAATCACCCTTTTTAAAATCAGTGTGCTTTGTTAAAGAGGGAACAGCTCACCCAGAAGTTAACCAGTGACCTCAAGTAGCGTGCAGCTTACACCCCCACCCCCACCCCCACAGACACTTCCTGTTGTCTCACGGGGGGGGGTGTCAGTGACACAGAAGGACAGGACAACTAACAAGAGAGTTGTCTCTAACAGAGACGACGAGACACAGCAGCGATGTTGGAACTGAGCGGGGAGGGCAAGTATGAAGAGTGTCAGCAGATTTCTCCAGCGCAGAGGTGAGAGTGCGTGAGCGGGAGTGAGGGACGCTTATCTTACTCGTGCAGTTTCCAGTTAGATTTGTGTGTGTGTGTGTGTGTGTGTGTGTGTGTGTGTGTGTGCTGAGTAATTTCATGTAGAGTGTATGTGCACAGTTGGCTAGTGTGTGAGCGTGTGTTTATGTAGAGTGCATGTCAGTCAGTCAGTCAGTGTAAGTGGTGGCCAGACACCAGTTTTAATTGTGTTAGTCCGTGAACCAGACCAGGTAATACATTCATGAAACTGGTTAAAAACACAAGACAAAATATCAGCAAGTTAGTAAAATTCTTACTAAGAATGTTTTATTAAAATAAATGCCAAGAGGTTAATAAGAAAAATAACAGCATACACCATGAAAACTAAATGCAAGCATGTAAAAATACTTATGACAAGAAAACTAATAAAGTAGCTAATGAGTTAAACAAGCTGGGAATTGGCAAGAAAACAAAACAAAATATAACAGGGAAAAGGCAACACTCCCCACAAGAGACAGTTTTCAAGATGTAAAGGGGGGGAGAGGGGGGGGAGGAGGAAGAGAGGGCTGTTTGGGGGGGGGGGGGGAGTTGCAGTGGGTTTCATAAAAAAAAAGCACTCAGAAACATGATTAATATACATATAAAATGAGATTAGAAAAATACATTATAAACCTGTAACAATGGCTGTTAATTACATTATCATACATGTAGTAGGCAGGCCAGAGAGAATACGGTAGGTATAGAGTTAACCTTTCACCTGATGGACTTATCCAGCCTTTCACAATGACACAGCAAGTTGTAACATTGCAGAGGGAATTTTCTTAATACTGTCAAATGCTGAATAGCCATCTCTTGCTCCACTTTAATATTGCATTTCAATTTAAAATAATAACACTGAAAAAGAAAAATTCATTGACCTTTCGGTATAACAGCATGATGAAAGAGCTATGAATAGAAAAACAAACTGCCAAGGGTAATATTGGGATCTAAGAATTCCTCAATTTAATATTATGGGTTTATTTCACCTTCCAGCAATAAACTGTCAGTTGTTTCAATAACTGAAAACTGTTTGGCTGTGAAATAGAGTTGCTCCTTTCATTATCCAGCATTTCATTCGTCCATTAGAAATCTCATGATTGTATTGATAGTTTGTTGTCAAATTGACACATTGAGACATGGACTGGATGCATTCAGTTTGCAGCTGTTGAAACAAACGGGGCATTAATGCCAACTGGGACGCCCCCGACTTCTCGTATCCGTACCCCTTGAATGTTTATGTATTTTTCTCAGCTCATGATCAAAACATGTTCTGGCAGAATACTGCATTGCTATTGGCAGTTCGATTTGTTCTAGGAAGTTAGTCACAGTCACCAAAAATCAACACAATAATTTCATATGATCATTAAAATCTAAATAAAAAGAGAACAAAACCTGCACATACAGCAGAGTAAAGGGCCATCAAGTCAAGGAAAAAGAAAAAAAAAACAAACAAAATAATTTCAGGAAGACAAAACCATGGCACATATTTTTAGCTGGTCAAAACGACTGCTATTCTTTTTGCATAGAATAACTTCGGTAACACCACGATAAGGTGGGAGCTACCCTGCTCAACTATTCAGAGCGTGTAACACTAGCCATTCCTCTCTGCGCCATCTCGGTGGGTGCTGGATATTATTGAACACAACTGGAATACTCAGAAAACAGAAACCACTGTTGATAAGGCACTTCGATTTGATCCTTTTAAAACTCTCTAGGCGTCCGTCTCGCTTCTGATCCGCGCTAGCTTTTCAAGGGTTATGACTGTTTTGGTCTTTGTCTTCCTTTTCCAATCATATCCAAAAGGTTAACAGCACTTTATCCTCACCCACTCAGTTTTTCCCCCTATACTGTTTTAAAGTTTTTTTTATTTTATTTTTTTCTGATTTTGTAACTGCAAGTAAAGTATCAAAAGCTAAAATTGCCAAAAATAGATTTTTCAATTTTTTTCTCTTCTCCAGCACCCTGTAAAATTATCTATGTTTTGTTCTCTTCTGTATTTGTATATGCAATGACAGATATCTACATTTTTATATATTTATATATATATTTATATATATATATAAGACGTATGTATAAAGCAATTTGAACAGGCAGGCATGGCTTTCACATCCTATTTTTCTTGAGAGAGTTGAACAAAAGATTGTGGGCTCAGGAGCTTGACTGCGATCACAGGGAAGTGTGACACATTGTGGATGCGCTTTTGGATGGTTTGTCATGTGTTCCAAATAACCTGTTTCACCACAAACAAAAAAAATAAGTTGTCTAATTTGCAGGAAGGCTCACATTATGCCCAACTGATGTCCCGACAGAAATTTAACTGGGATTATAACTAAAAAAAAAAATACACTTAAAAAAATGGCCAAATGTTGAGATGCAAAAAATGACAAACAAATGAACACTCTTTTGGCAATGTGGCTGATGAAACAACTCAATATAGAAGCCAGGTATCATGACGAAAGCATTTATGTACAGAACTTCAGAGTGCCCTTCCCCCTAGCAATGTACTGTCATTGAGTAGTATGTTGATTTAGTGTTAATTGCCTGCGTTCACCTCTTCAGAAAAAAAAAAAAAAATAGAGCATTAATGGGTGAAAACACATCTAACTGACTGGCTGTCTGTTCCAGCTGAAGGCAGGCACCACAAATTCACACCTTTCCAAACTCTAAAATCACAAAGAGAGCCCTCTGTGACACAGATGCATAATTGCAGATATATAATTCATTGGAAAAACCCTTTGGCTAAATATGCACACTTAATACTTTTTTTTTTGTCTTTTCTATCACAGCTCTGCTAACTCATTGAGATATTTTTTCTAAATACATCAGGCACTGTATAATGGATGTAGTGTGGATGGGGGCGTAGCAATGGTCAGTAGCTAATAAGTACTGCTCCAATGTCCCCGAAGCCTCAGCACACCCTACTTTCATTGTAGTATTAATTAAAAAACACACACACACACACACACACACACACACACGCACGCACGCACGCACGCACGCACGCACGCACGCACGCACACAGAGACCCCTCATCCCAAATAGTGACCTTCCCATCTTGCCCTTTCCTACTTTCTGAAGCCTGTGTCAATCAGATTGCGTTTTGTTTTCCAGTGATAACCACCTGCCTTATTTTGGCTAGTCAATTTAAACAAAGCTAATTAGTCAAATATGAACATCAGAGAAACCAAAATCAAGTGGAGAAAATGACTCAAAAGCAAAACAACAAAAAAAGACAAAGGAAAAAAAAAAAGACAGAAGAAAAAACACATAAATCATAAAAAGCTTCTTTTGCAATCATTTCAGCCATGCTTTTTTTAAAAACAGACAGAAAGCTGTTTGGAGGTGCACACCCAGAATGTGTCAGCTCATAATTACATCTTAGAGCTCAACAACTGCACTACATGTGAAAAATGACAGAAATTAAACAAGTTAATGTGAGTGTACGTTCTCTTTCCTTCTATTTCTTTTTCTCTCCCAATAGGTGGGTGTTGGAACAGGGTGGGAGCAGGTAGGGGCTTTTACATTTGAGGGGGATTATGTCATTATTCTGAAAACCAAATGGTTTGCGTCAAATATTGAACTTTAATTTATACAAGTGAGGTCAGCAAATTAGAGCGATTACAGGAAGGTGGGTGGGCAGGGTGGGGTTGGGGGTCTTTATTGCTATATAATTCAGTGCAGATTTATGAGTAATACCACAAACACATCCACCCAGTATATGATTCATGAAGAAAAAGAAAGAGAAAGAATGGGAATTGAACTCAATGAACAGAGGGAAAAAATGAATATTACACAACTTTGTTGGGTTTTGTTGTGTTTCTGTGAAGATTCTGCGTTGGTTTCAATTTTTTTTTTGTCAGAACGTGTTAGGGTAACTGTACGGGCAGGCGCCTCTCTCTCTCACTTGCGTCCGAGAGGCTAGCAAAAGGCAATTACCAGTTAACTGATCAGCAGGCAGGCTTGGGGCGGCTCGTCATTGGGTGAAGAGTTCAGAGGTCAGAAGGTCATGTGTTAGTTGCCGGTGGCGGCTAGGTGGTTAGAAACAAAAACAAAACAAACAGAAAAAAAAGATAGAAAGGATATTAGTGTCAGCAAGAAGAGACTGGAATGACATCATTTTAACAATAAAATGAATGCAATCTCTTATGTCCCCCCCGGCTCCTAAATCCCCTGCCAATGTGAGATGAACCCAGCTAATCGCATTATAATCATGACGTTGTCACATCATGATCCCAACTACTAAGCCCCCACCCTGAATCAGGTAGCTTGGTGGTTTAATTTAAGCGCACATTGCCCCCAAATCCACAAAACAGAAGCAAAGAGAGGCCGGACAGACACACACAATAAGAAAAACAAAAATCTAGTGTTTTAGTGTCTGTCAAGTTTGAGTGCAAGTTACAAACAGTGTGATTAGTGGTAAGGAGACTTACATTAACTAATGTTATGTGAGGAATAACTGTGACTAGTGGTAAATGTGCAATGAATAGATGAATCGATGTTTTCCGATTCTTTCTCTTTATTTAGCAGTATATTTTTATATAATATAAATATACACAAGGACCATAAATACATTTGATATAAAATGCTCAAATATAAAATGACAGTACCTCATGTACAACTGAAATATTAAAAATGTATTTTAGCTTTATTTCAATCGATTTGCAATACACTGGAGAGAATGCAAGCTACCTCAGCTTATGTCTGTGCGTGTCTATCTTCCATAGAAAAATAAAAATGCAAAATAAATTTAAATCTCAAGGTGAAATGGTGCCTGGTAGCAGCATGGCTACTTGTCTTTTGCCTAATAGGTCTCTCAGATACAGTATAGAAATGCTTCTCCTTTTTCTTTGCTCCTTATGAGCCAAGGAGATAAATCATGTATGGGAACAAGCCTGCCCCATTTTAGGCTCTAATCTCACATCAGAGGAATGTCATTATACACCTTCAACGCTGCCTGCAAAGTACTACCTGTCCTGGCTTCACAGCTGCATGAACCAAAAGCTGTTAAGATCACTTTTGCCTGAGCTTTTGACATATACACAGTCTACATATAATGTATATGTTAAGTACTAAATGTAAACAAAATGTGCAGACCACAAGCAACCATTTAGCTGGTGTGTGGATGTATGGGGTAGGAAAGGTGGTGGGGGGAAAGGAAAACAAAAAATACAATACAGACAATATACAAATTCCCAACTAAGGCATCGAGGCATAATAGGCATAATAATCATTGAAATTCATCAGTCAATAGTAGAGTGTAGCTAGGAGACTAAACTGACCTCTGTCAGCGGTCACAATCCTTTGGTAAGGATGGACCCGCGTGTCATGCCGTCTCACTTTAGTAGCCATTGCACCTAGATTGTAACAGGTCCACAAGGTTAGAAACCATTCACTTTGAGCAGGGGAAAAACAGTCATCTTTTACAGTAATAACATTCACATTTTTAACCACTATCATTATAATGTTGGCTAATACAACAATACACAGAATAGCAACATAATACAGATTATAGTACATATACACACACCAGGCATATCTTTTTTTTTTACGTGTAGAAAAATGCAGTAGAAAAAAATAATACACCTTTTTGGAGTTTAACTTGGTATTTAAAAATGCATAACTTAAGTAATAAAATTCCACAGTGCTCAGAGTTATATGGAGGACTCTTTGAAAAGGGGACAGGCAAAGGGTTCAGGCTCCTGGGCTGTCTGGAAAAAATAATGTGATTCTTCCTCTGGGATCCAGAGGGGGATTGAGAGAAATTTGTCTCTTTATTTTGAAAGGTGGGGAAATCCAATACAGCTCTGATGGTAATTGAATAGTGCCAGACACCACCTGCCTCTCCCTCTCTCTTTCATTTTCTCTTTCCCTCTTTCACCATTTCTCTCCAGGTCAATCTGTTCACTGGCGGCAGAGGCTGTCATTTTCCTCCTATATTTGTCACAACTGGTTTCTTCCTACTGCAGTGCTTGATACTGCCTCGTATACATGACACTCACAAACTGTTCATGTGTCGAGGTATGTTCAAGTATTACGAAATGAAATGTGTGCAGGAGTTAACAAAAATAAATCAAGCCCTCCCAGAGGAAGAGGGGACATGTGAAATAAGTTAGAAAGATTTAACACGGATTTTGTTCTGGCATTGTCAAGTTAAGAGTGAGTTTTGGCTTATGACTACACAGCAACCTACACTATTCTGAAGAAGCAGATGGTCTGACATTTCCTTATTCTAAGACAAGCCAATGGTGGCTAGATACAGTAGCGCAGGCAGCCGAGCCAAGTGCATGAGTGTGTGTGAGTACGAGACTGAGTGTGTTCCACGGGGCCCTGTGTTGCTGAAGGCACCAATCGATAGTGTGAGTAAATAAAATGCACTAAGCTGGTGTAACCCTGCAAGTTAAAGAGAGAAAAGCCAGTCAGCTGCCCCTGTCTGTTCTACACATGACTCCCAGAGGCACCTCAAATACACAGGTCAGCTAAAATCACACTTGTGTCTGCTGCTGCCAGATGATGCCACGAACAACATTAAGGGAGTACTGTGTCAAATTAAAGCTGGTAAGCACCTGACAAAGGCTTCTTCTGTCTTAACATGCGAAAAACAGCTTTGCTTTGGTTAACTACAGCCTCAATATAACATATGCCGCTCATATCACACTCTATTTCATCAATAGATGTTCAGTTGTCTCTTTGGTAGCGGATGTGTTGAGCTTAAAGCACCATTGAGAATGAATATAACATATAGGCCCTCATATTGAACTGTACTCCTGACACAGAAACTAAGGGGAACGTCAGGTATTAGCACGGGACTCAAGTTCAAGAGGGGTGAAGCTAAGACAATGGTGAGAGGGGTAGGAAAAGAAAAAAGGGAAGACTGGAGGAATTTAATGAACATCCCCAGTGGGAGTGAGAGAGGGACTATCTACAGGCATCAAGGCCTGCCTGCAGAGAACAGCACAGAGAAATGATTTCAAAAGCTGCAGAAATCCGAGGGGATCTGCCGCCAGACTGAATATGCCTCCAGGCCAGTGTATGAAAGGGTTAGAGAGCAGGCTGTGTGTATGTGAGCGTGTTTCTGTCAGCAAGCCTCATTTCACACTAGGCAACTCCTCCTATATAAACCTTGCAGAAAAGAGGCAATGTAAACCTGAGAGCATAATTGTTTGGCGAGAGCGTAACTAAACGTAACAGTGAAGTAACCGTAGTCTAAATTATGAAGAGAACTTTCCAAGAGCCTAGCCCTCACAAGGTAATATCTGTCCCCTTTTGCCATTTTAATACAGTGTCCATATGAGCCACATAGCTGGTCATCCCATTACCAAGAGCTTCACCAGAACATCCACTCTGTGAGTTTTTCTGTTTTTGATCCTCAGGTGGACACGACATATTTACCTTTCAACAAGTCCTGACTGTGGCTCATGGAAGCCGCGTCCAGCACCCCAATTCCGGGGTAAAACAAGCTGCCCTCCTGTCCAGGCTGGCTAAAGTTGGCCGCTGTACCTGCTGCACCCATGCTTCCCCAGGCTCTCTTACCTAGAACCCCACTGTGCTCGATGGGGTACTCCAGCAGGGAGGTGGGTGCCAGGGCGTAAGGGTAGTCGTAAGGGGTGGTGTAGATAAGCCCGCCATCCGGTGTGGGGGGCACCAGGGTGGGGGTGCCATTGGGCAGCATGGCAGCCATCTGAGTGGGCCGGATGAGGTTCATGATGGGGCCCCCAGCTGGTGTTTGGGGTCGGAGTGCCTGGGGAGGCAACACCTGACCAGTTGGGCCCGCTATGAGACGGGGGCCCTGAGCGGCCGCTGCCGCCGCTGCAAGAGAGAATGCAAGGGTGGCTGCCATAAGCAAGAGAGCAAAGGACAGGAGTAGAAAGAAAGAAAGAGGACAAAAGATAAAGTGGTGTGTGGTTGATAATAATCACGATGAACAGTGAAGGGTGAGAATACAAAAGGAGGAAAAGAAGAGGGAACAGGAAGTGGCAGGTATAGAGGGGAGAGGAGGAGGGGAGGCAAAAGGGAAAATTAGTCCATGCAATGATCATGGTGGTGAACCACAAAAGCCATAATCTGTTGCAAAAAAAAAAAAAGTCAACATAGCCACAAACAAAAAATAAAATAAAAATATCCCATCACACCAAAACACAAGAAGCACAAAATGCTGCTGTCATCCCAATGCATTTAAAGCATACAAATCACCATGGCAGCTACACATTCATCTACTGGAAATGGCATAGGTGAGGTAAACAACACACACAACAGAAATGGAACTGCTGACTACATGTAGAAGAGACACACTCAATGAAGGTTTCACAAAAAATGTATCAGGAATTCTGGCCTAAAATACATTGTAGTACCAATGGGAATATAGAATAATATATATATATTTTAAGCTGTGAATAACTTGAAAAATGTTTATCCCTACACAGTCAGCAGTCCATTTAAGTTGGATAATGTACAAATAAACAGACACAAATCTTTTTTTGAATGGTTCTGCATTAGCATGTGCTGTGAGCCGTGCCACACAAGCTTCCCCAAAGGCAGGTCAATTAAATGAAGCTGTAACTATGGTTAGGTGGTGGGCCAGTTCATCATGGCTACCATTTGAGCAGATGTTAAATAAGGGAAATTAAACAGTGGAATTAATCACTTTGGGTTTCATTTTATAAATTTAAGCCAAAGTATATAGAATAACCAAGTTTAGGATCATGTTTAAATTAAACTTTAAATGATAATTACCAGCATAACTAAGGGCCCAGAGAGTAATATGTTCTATAAGCTAAATGCTTGGCCTACTTATGATTTACTGTATCCCAATCATACATGTGATTTAGAAATGGCATTTGGTGCAACGCTGTACATGTGTGAGCTAGTGACTGACATGCAGAGTTGAGCAAGTGGAATACAGCAATGCGCTTCAAGTTTAGAGTCCGCCAACAGCAAGTGATACATAGCGATCGCATCTGGATTGCAAGGAGGGTGGGCAATGGGGGATGAGGTAGAGGAATGGATGAAGAGGAAAGAAATATGGAGTAGAACGGAATGGAAGTTGTCCTACTCATGGTTGGGTAGGTAAACATGAATTGTTTGGAGAGCTTGATAGAGAGAAGTCTGCTAGTGGTCAAAGATAATATGATGGTATGTACACAGGAGATCTGATCACACAGTAATCTAATGAAGGTAAACAGTATTAGTTAATGAGAAATACAGAAAAAAAGTTCTCTCTACAATTAGGTATGTCTATGCAGTAAAAATATTAGTTACGTATGGTGCAAAATAGATGGATTGTGTAAATTGTGGAGATGTCTTGTGTTCATGGCAGCTCACTTACGTGTTTTTATGTTGTTGTCTCTGTATGTCCCATTGAGAATCGCTAGCTCCATCAGCTGCATCTTCTTCAAATTGTCTTCTCCCTCCGCCTGTGAAAAACAGAAACTTTAATGCCCATTCACAATAACACACCACACACTAATTCCACACAAGCTGAGGCCCATTTACAGGCCGATTGAAACAATCCACAAGACGACCATTTCACCAAACAACATGCCTGGGTGTTGTTAAAAAGCTACAGTGGGGCTGCTAAATCATTTAGACACTACATGTCATCTGTTCTCCACAAGCATTGGTTGGACAGGGTTTAGGGGAACAGAGATGGAGATAAGCTAAAGTGCTGTTGTCATGGCAGAGTGCCTTGTTGTTACTAAAATGCTGACAGAGACATTAAGTGTGGGAATGCATATTCATAATCCATATCAGAATGATAATTACTGTAATTTTCTTTGCTCCCTTGTGCGCAATCAAATGCGCAATAACCGCCCTGGCTAATGTCAGTCCTGTCAATTAATGTTTGGATAAATAAATACAAAAGCCGCAGCCACTGTCATTATTGCCAAATTAGGGGACTGAAATTATTCACGGAAAGCAATTAAGATAGCACCCCTCCTCCCACTCACACCCATCTATTCCTCCCCCCTTTCTTTTCTGCACCCCCTCCCTACCTCCACCCCCAAACTCCATTTCCCCTGAAGCTACCGAACACTCAATAACCATGACAACACAAAAGCCCCTGTGATTTTCCTGGTTGTACATCATAATTTAACCAGGGCCTTATGTGAATTACTCTTCAAACCGAAGGGTGCAAAGACAGGCATGTGAAGCCTGGCTGACCTCAAATCCACCTTAAGTGAACTATTGATTTCATGCCTTTTGCTGCTAAAAGTAAAACTGTGATGCTGGTTCATCATCATTTTAACGCACAAATACGAAGCAAGGTGGCTCGCGTACAGGCACTGTGCATCTGCATGTAAATGCAACACGTACACACAGAGTATAAGGCAGACCTGCCTATTAGTGGCGACACTGATAAAAGCAGGAAGGCCGATACTGAACCTCCGTTTCTCTGTTCTATCTCTGCACAGAGTCTGTCTCCTGGACTAAGTTTAACAACAGTCTGCCGCTCTATTCAGAGGACGATAAGGAAAGAAAGACATAGAAGGAGAGAGAGAAAGAAAGGGAAAAAAGAACGAGGGCTCAGAGTTAAGCCCTCCCCTGAGACTCCTCTTCAACACAGCCACAGAGAGAGGAAGAGAAAGAGCGAGGTTAAGCAAGAGAAAAAGTGACAGAGGCTGGTCTCCCTTGACTAAATATAAGGCAGTGGCTTCAGAGCAGTCACAGTATTCAGCTTTGTGTGGGTGCCTGTGCAATGTTTAGTGTACCACAGAGCTGCCAATTAACGAAGCAAGGAAATTCTCTCTACTGCTTTCTCTCCTTTGCTACCTTCACTGTGCTCGGCCTCTTTCCTTTTAATGGGGGAAAGTCTTTAAGCGCAAAAATGACATTACATTTTTTCCAAGCTACAACACTTTGCCCTGCTAAGACAGACAAGTGGCTAGTAATGCAAACACTAGTGATGCAACGTACATGATTCAAATTCATCACAGAGCTGAAAAACTTTGCCCAATATCAAAAAGATGATCCTGAACAAATGGCTTTAAATTGCAAATGATTACAATCTATTAATTTATTATTCATTCTGTTCAAAATAACATGGTAATATAGTATTTTATATGAAACCAACCCCTAAGCTACACATTAAGTAAAACATTGCGCACACGAAGAAGCACACACATACAAGTTGCTCTATTTTGTTTCCTCGCTAACAGCTTTGGAGGTGAAGAAAGGCCCATCTGATGTGGAGTTTCAACAATGATAACCAGGTTAGGCTAATTGAACATGGCCTAGGTCAATGGCTAGCATGGCTAATATGGACAACTAAACCCTCTTCAATAGAGAGCCAAAATCACTACTAATTAGATGCTGTAACCTCTATGCAAACACTTGTAAACATGAATGAACAAGCCTGAAATAGCTGCCTATCACACCTAAGAATGCAACGTAAACATTATTGGTTTCTCATTCTTATGTTACTTCCTCTTCTGTGTTCTCCTTTAGTTATTTACATTGCAAATTAAAGCAGACCTTGACCTCTACAACCTTGTACAAAACTTAAAAAAAGAGCAAAAAACAAGTCTGCTACACTGTTTTTCCTTCCTTATTTGTGTGTTTGTGTATTTGTGTGTGTGTCTGTGTGTCTCCCCAAAAAGCTCTGTCAGTGGTTCTTTGGAAGTGGGCCAAAGCCGCCTTGTTAGACAAAATTGAGAAATGAGGGAAGGAAAGAGAAAAAGGCTAGACAAAACAAGAATAACTTCACCAGATGCAAATCATGAAGGGGGCTGGATGTGTTACACTTTCAAAGCTTAACACATTTGTGACAACAATAAATCAAACATTTGTCTTTGACTTTATTGTCACTGTATGGAGAGCAGTATAAATACTAACCACTCTGCTGAAACCATACTTGACGCAATGGCTCCTTAGTCTTTCGTCTCAAATCAAGCGCAGGTAGCCCATGTGAGTAAAGCGTATTCTAACAGCATGAGTTTAAACTGGAGAACCACAGATCCTTGGTTCCTTTGTAGCTACATTTAAATACTTTGCGACCTTTTAAAATTTAAACTCAATAATGAGAACATTTGGGGGGTTGGTCTCTCACAAGAGGAGGGAGCTAGGCATCATGCTGCAGCTCAGAACAGAGACATGCTGGGATATGAGTGTAAGGGCTGCTTATGTGTGTGTGTGTTGGATGGTGATGGATCTGCATGGTTGTGGGGGTTAAATGGGCGCAGGGCAAGAGGGTGCCACCATCCATCCAACTCTGCCTAGGTGGCACACTGCCTGTTGAGAGGAGAGAGACAAAATAGAGGGCAGCGAAAGGGGAAAATCACAGATGCTGCTGTTTGGATGAGGTGTGCACTGCTGTGTGTGAAATGTGTGTATCCCCAGTGGAGTGCCGCTGATATAGCTCCATCTTCTCACTAACACAGTTTGTTAGCTAAAGCCCCCAAACCCCGACAGATCATTTCTGTTTCACATCTGAAACAAGCTCATTTTTCCCCATCAAAATACAAATTCCCTACTGGAACGTTTTCCCTATTTTTCTCCGTTTATTTTCTCTGTAGTGTGGATGTTTGGGAAGTGTTGGCAGTGCTAGCGCCCTGATTTGAGCTGCTCAACAAGTAACATGGCAGATCCAAAATGGCTGCAGACGGTAGCTGCGAGATCAGGAGAGACCAAAAGATAATGCTGGTGACGCCACTAGATTGCAGCCCAAGGTGTACAAGGCCAGCTTCCTACCTCAGAAGCACATCTTAGATGAATGTTTGATGAACAGCCAGGGAGAGCGGTTTAATGTTGCCTTGCTCAAGGTGTCGCCACAATTAACAGACACCTCAGTCAGCATGCACCACCCATAATAAAGCATTCACTCAGACGCAGCCCTCCCTAGGACTGTGTGTGTGAGCGTGTTGCATGTGTGTGCCTGTAATGATCTCGCTGCTAGAATTCCTTGGAGAGGAATAGCTGCTGGATTATAGAACGAGAGGGATGAGGAGAGGAAGTTTTCCTTTATCATCCCTAACATGCACGCACGTAACACACACACACACGCACCCACCCACCCACACACTCCTGTCCATCAGCGAAAAAACCACTCAATAAAGCTGCTCTATCCACAAGAATCAGATTCAATCAATGAGGCCTATTTGTGAAATCAGCAGAGCGGTAAAAGCTATCAGGGAGGAGCAAGACAGAGGGATGAGGGAAGGAGGGAAAACAGGGAGGAGGGAGACGGGAGTGTGATGAGCTAAAGTAGGTGAACCGTGTCCCACTGCCACTACCTGACAACCCGGCGATGAGGTCACTAGATGCATGCTAAATCGCTGTCATGCTTCACTCTTGTGCCTCTCCCCTGATCAAAGCTTATATTCCTATGTTGATGAATACAAACTGTAGCTAATGGCAATTGTTACAGACAACAGGGTTCATGTTCAATACTACGTTCTGTATGTGCAAGTGGAAGACAATACGCAACAGATGAGTGGCCTCGGCTTTATAGGGCAGAAACCTCACTCTGCCCCTAACACCCGACTCCAGGCCCTTTCCTATCCATCTCACCCACAGATAAACACAACAGGCGCCTGGATTAGGTTGGATGAATTTGCTCATGTCTACTGCTGCAACTGAGGGGGAGTTTTTGCTCATATCTGGCAAGAGTCACCGTCAATGCAGCTCAGATCAGAGCTCAGCTCGGAGAGATGAAATGATGAGCATAGAGAGAGAGAGATAGAAAGAGAGGTGGAACAAAAGAGTACCAGGAGGAGAAAAAAGCACTGCAGAGCAAGTACAAGGGAAAGCGTGAATGATTGTCTTTGAGTTGGTGGAGAGATATGCAGGAAGAAGAAAGGGATAGCTGGAGAATATGAGACAAGAAAAGACAGACAGCGTAGTGAAAACCAATTTGTCTGTTCCCTAGTGGGCTGACACTGGCTAAGGCCTGCTTTCCTTCCCTGGCCTCACTGCCAGTCATCACAAACAGGCGTATGCACACATGTGTGTAAAAAAACACACACACACACACACACACACGCACACACACACACACACACACACACACACACACACACACACACACACACACACACACACACACACACACACACATCTTGGGCCTTAGCAGGGCCAGGGTCAGGCTCTCTCCAAACTACTCCAATTACCTCAGCAGTAAACACAGCCTGCCCTGGCTGCCTCCTGGGATACAGAGAGAGGCAGAATGTGCAGAAGTGAGAATGAGAGGGGAGGGGGAAACAAATCCAGAAGAGTGGAGTGGAGGAGGTGGTATTGGGAGCCTCAGGGAGGGAGGAGTAGATGACTTCATGTGGAGGGGTGGAACTGGTAGTGGCGGCAGCTGGTTTGTCTCCCATTCCCCTCCTTCTCTCACCTCCCTTTTGGTTCCTTCCCAAACTCTAACATCTGGAGGAAAATGATTACTCTCGCCGCGCTGCCAAGACGACTTATCAACAAT